ATCGGTCTGCTGATCAGACGTTAAATGCATGATGAAACACATTGTAGGATATCAGACCGAATCAGACAATCTAAGATTTGGTCAAAACCGAGTTGAGGCACGAGGAGTCACAAAAATTCCACAGAGGCCCAAGACAACAGGATGTCATAAATCAGACCCCAGCCTCTCTGAAGCAAGCCTAAACCTAAGCCCCTGTCACAGAACAGTTTTCAACATTAACACAAAAGAACACATTGACAAGTCCAAGGAGATTGTAAAATTTTGGGGCAAGTTATCAAGAATAATGGTCAAAAGAGATGACCGCATGACTATCAGGGTCAACTAACCATTTATCTTTTTGCAGTTTGATATCTTAAATTAATAATTAGTAAATTCCAGGTGTGAACATAAGCTGATATTGTGTGCCTGCCCAGTTAAACTTTAATTTTTCATATTCATTTGTGTGTTTTAAATTTGTACTGCACATAGAATAACATATAAATGACACAGACTCACAATTCTGGCGTCATCTTCAGCTGCAGCATTCTTCTCCTTTCTTGAAGGGCTTCCATCACTCACACTCGTCATCAGACTCCCAGTTTGCAATCTTATGAGAGGAGCTTCCTTCACCTGACACTGCAGACGTCTGGGCCAATTCTATTGAAAAAGGATAAAAAAAAACACTTATTTCAATCATTTAAATTGACATTAGGACTGTAAATATGGTAAAATAATTGTGATTTCCCCTATTTTGAGTATGCTGAGAACTGTCTATAATACAGGTGTCAAATCGTAAACTTTTTTTTTTTTACATACTTCATTCTAGGGTCAATTAAATGAAACATTGTGCAATATTCACATGGAGGCCTGAAATAATTTAAGTATATAATCTGATTATTAAATACATTTGTATAATTTTAATGAGTAACATGAGTAATAAGGCATCTTAAAATGAACAGTGTCCTACATTAGAATAAATTAACACATTAAGAATTTATCTTACTATTAATTTATTATTTATAATGTGAAAAGAAATTACAGATAAATATATACATATTTCTCCATTAAAACTTAACTTTGTATATCTAGAAATATTTAGGACATTATTTAACCCAAAATAGCATGCCATATGAATTGATAAAGACTGGTTTCAAGCTAAAGTACCTGCATGCTCTGCCAGTGGGCACTGAAGGAAATTGAAAGACTGACGGATTTACAGTTTAACGTACCTTTAACTCACTTTCACAATGCTTGCATAAACGTAATTGTCATAAGAAAAACTTGATGGTAGCGCGTTTGTGTCTTGACGCAGATATGACGACATGACAGACATGATATTCAGCGCTGAGAACAAGCAATTAAGCCTATGGCGAATGGAAGTTTTTTAACACGCTCTAATTTCAGAGTTTTGCATTAGATAACGTCAATCAAATGATTGCCAGCTCTGTCTGCAGAAAGACTGCTCGTTTGCAGCGGGCGAGACAGACACTTCAACACAGTGTTATGCGTCAGAAAAACGAAATTGTTAGCTTTAACAGTTTAACAGTCCCACTATTAAGTTACCGTTTCAAAGAATGGAAACAGCGAAATGCCACACTAAATGCTTTCATATAAATTTATAAATTTACCATTTGATGAATTCTCTCATTTGAGAAGAAAACTGCCCAAATGTGGCTGCTTCAGACTTCAGTGCCAGACTCGTAGTAAAACCAGGCCT